TTAGAAGTTGGGAAAAAGTGATTTTTTTAGTGATTTTCAAAAAAACGCGCCGTATTCGTGTATTTAAAGAGACTTTGCGATAAATTTCATTCTGGTCAATTCGTTTAGCATGTGTATGTACCGTAAATACTGTCATAATTAACGTGTGTTCCTCTCAAGAAATACTGTGAAATAGGAAACGTCGAAATCAATTGAATATCTTGCATAGGAAACGTCGAAATCAACAGTTTGTTAGTTATTAAGTTTATTTTAAATGCACTCGTTTCCTATTTTGCACTATTTCTTGAGAGGAACACTCAAGTCATCATATCCCACACCCTCTAGTGCCCCACGGGTAGACTCGCTTATCGATACTCTAGAAACTGAGATCTGAACGGCAAACATGAGCATGCCGTTTGTATCGATAATATCGATACAGTGGTCCACAAAAGTATTGTCCCATTGCCATCCAAAAGCTTCTTTCATACGAAAATCTTGCAAAAAAAACGATATACCAAAAAAGTGTAGGGGTTTTTTTTGCTTACCCATAATATTTAAGTGGCTCGTCTGATCGAACGGTGCGGGTTTGGTGTGGTCAAACCGGTGTACAGCGTCATGTTCTGCAGGGGCATACGGGTGGTGTTACCTGCATAAGTCTACATGGCACAACGTGAGTGATTTTAAATTTTGGGCTTTAGCTAAAAGCATAATTTTTTAGTCTTGTTTCTGGATCGACCGATCAAACGCTCCGAGTCTGGGACATTGTCGACGGGAAATGCCTTCACATTTTGGCTGGCCACTTGGGGGCGGTATTTGTATCAAAGTTATATCCTAAGCAAAGTTAAATTTCAGGCCTTTTGTGTTTTGAAGTCAACTGACCAACCCTGTCAATGGCTCACCCTAAATAGGGTTTGACGGATGAAAATTCTCACTCCAAGAAAAAACAATGGTTTTGGGCCTACTATGTTCAAATGTGCTGTGTACTTTTCAACCTCACACGTTCCAAATAACAAAACCCTGCCTACCATTTTGTTATACGAAACTCGAAAGAAGTTTACCTTTTCTTTTTATTTGTGAGCCAGTTTAAGCCATTTATCTTGCATGTGTAAATTGTGTAACGAAAACCAGATACACAACTGAAAGCAATAGAAACACCCCTGGCAACAATCACACAAGGGAAAGCAGGTAAATGGCAAAATAAAGGTAAACAAAATGAACACTTTGGCATACAAGAAAGCCTGCAAAACGTGAGAAATATTTGAAAGGAAATCACAAACACTAATCGAGTGAGCCATGAAAACGCAGAAGAATTGAAAACCGAAAAAAATTATTCAGAAAATCACGATAAGGCAAAAGAGCAACAATCCGAATATACCTATAGATACGATGCCTCAAAATCGATCACGATGAGCCTTGGGCACTCGTTACGCGGTTCACTTGCACAGACGAGCAATGTTTCGGTTGCGAAGAGATCCCGAATCAAACCGCCAGCCTGCAGACGAAGGAGGTCACGAACAAAGATACCTGAAAATCACAAAAATTCTCGTATAGTTGATAAAAAAACTAACAACAGAATACTAACCCTGAACATAGCTTTAAACTTGAATAGTTAACCGGGTCAAATTATGTAGTTAATAAATTCCAATCCAGAAGAAAACTTGGAGTCTGAACAAATTTGCTTATCTTATAGCCTACATTACCAGGTAATTTAGAACAACTTACCTTTATCCACATCCCAGAGCTTGACCGAGCCATCGTAAGAACTTGTTACCAAAAGTCCCGAGTCGAGCAATTGCAAGGAAGTAATGCCCGACGTATGACCATTTCGGCCATGCAGGCGATGAATGAACGAGCCACGCCCACGAATGTCCCAAACTTAAAGAAAAGGAAGTAGTTGTCATACGATTGATTAAACGTACCCCAACGCCCCAATCGACATAGCAGGCGACCAAAATGGTTCCGCGAAGTTGCATGTCATAGTAGCGCCTGTCGCCACTCCGAAGAATTGCGATGCATGCTAAAAGAAACAAATATAAATGATATCGCAACAGAAAAGCCAACAAATAAAACTCACCTCCTCTTCGCAAATCCCAGACGCGCATCGTTTTATCCTGACTTCCCGAGACGACAAGATCGCGTTTCGGGTCCAACTAAAACAGAGTCCTGATTAAAGAAAAAAATTGACAATTTAGCTCACCAAAAGTGAATAGACTCGATTCGTGTGACCCGTCAGCGTCTGCAAACACTCCCCCGTCTGCACATTCCAAACCTTATAGAATATTATAAAATTGTACAAAAAAAGCATTACATACCTTTACAGTAGAATCATCGGCACCAGACACAACCCGTTTTCCATCAAATTGTACACAACGCACCTGAAATTTAACTTTGCTTAGGCTATAACTTTGAAACAAATACCTCCGCCAAGTGGCCAGTCAAAATGTGAAGGCATTTCCCGTCGACAATGTCCCAGACTCGGAGAGTTTGATCGCGCGATCCAGAAACAAGACTAAAATATTCTGCTTTTAGCTAAAGCACAAAATTTAGATCACTCACGTTGTGCCATGTAGACTCATGCAGTTAACCCACGACGTATGTCCCTGCAAAAAATGAAGCTGTGCACCGGTTTGACCACACCAAACGCGCACCGTTTCATCAAACCCGCTACTGAAATATTAGGATATGCTTTGTTAAGAAGTTTTGTTTGAATCTTTTTACCTTGATTGGAACCCTTACGAATTACACTAGCTATAGTCTCTAAACTAACCTGACAATGTATTCGCCATCATCGCTCACTTGAAATGTCGAAATATGACCCATATGGCCAGTTAGAGTGAGAGCCGGCTAAATTAACCCGTACAATAATAGTTAAACGAAACAAACTTGGGCATCATCAACATTCCAAACCCGCAACGCACCATGATAACCAGCTACGATACGACCAGAGTGAATTTGTAGACAAGTAAACCTGTTGTAGACATGTTCATCCTGAGCCTAAAAACAATTTTTATAGCCAAAGCATTTCGTTCAAACCTTTTGGACAGTGCTTGATTGAATCGGTCGGGATCGCCAATTCGAAATGATTCGCTTCTTTCGCAAGTACAGTGACTTCCATGACGATCGCTCATAACACCTAGAAAAATTTTAATTCAACAACAAGTTGCGCCACTAACTGTCCATATGCGATCTCGCGTTCTCGTCGATTCTGATGTGCTGCTTGAAGGTCCATATGTGGGATTGTGATTCCCGCTTCCTCATTTGCTCGATTCGCCGCCCCACCTCCGAGAAAACGAAAGCTAAACAAAAATAAGTTAGTGACGAGTCTTTTTCTAATTGATTTCTTAAGTGTGAACCAGCTCATTTAAACAAACATTATCATTTGTTTTCTTTCCCTTTACATCTTTATTTGCTCTGGAATTAATAACATTATTATCCTATACCTTAGAAGTGTAAGATCTAGTTTAATCTATCAGATACGTATTTTTAACAATATATTATTTGCTCAAAACTGTAACACACCTTGGCACATCAAATTTCACATATCCTTTCTCCAAACATTTCTGTCGCCACGTCCGATCATCTTCACAAATTCGCTGCCACGTCCGCGAAACGCGCGCACAAAGCGTTAAATCGCACGGTGTTAAATAGGCGATGATGCGATAAGCAACCTAAAAATCAACAATTAATCCCATAAACTTTAACAAAAGACAAACCTCCACTGGTAACTGTGACAAGAAATCCTTTTGGAACAATGGTTCGATGAGATCCCTGAATTTGAAAATTTCACTGTTTAAGGTCATTCTCTTTACTCTTCGAGTTGAGTCTTGCTGCTCTCCGGCTTGTCTGACATCTCCCCTAAATCAAAAATTACAGCAGAGATAACACCGTAAATAACAAACCGAAAAACCCCTGAGCAAAATACCACCATTAACTAGCGTAAATATTGTAATAGTATCGCAGCCATTACAATGAATGAAAGCTTGCCAATGAAATAAGTTGATAGCTGTTCTAGAAAGAGAGATCTGAACGTTCAAACATTAACATGCCGTTTGTATCGATAAAATCGATAAGCAAGTCTACCCTTAAGGCACACGCGCCACCCTGGGGCTGGGGGGAAAGAGGCTAATAATTTTCGTAGTGAAAATCCGATCAAACTCTTCTCCCCCTCTCATGTCAATCTACGTCATTTACTGTTTTCCGTTGAATCACAGAGCTCAAAAAGCAAACAAACAACATAAACTGATCAACGTCTCGCAAAAGAAGGTTCAAAAATAAAGTTCAAAGTGTGACTTCGCTAAAAAGCACAATGGAATGGAGCTTTTTGAAACGCGAAACCACAAAATATGGTTTTGTGTACATTCTACTGTAGGCCTTTTGATGGCGAGTTCTAAAACGCGCCCCTTTTCTGTATTGAAAGAGACTTTTTGCGATAATATTCATTCTGGTCAATTCGTTTAGCATCTTGTATGTACCGTAAATACTGTATTAGTGCCCCATTCCTCTAGTGTAATGTGCCAACTCGAAGAGTAAAAAAAATGACCTTAAACAGTGAAATTTTCAAATTCAGGGATATCATCGATCCATGGTTCCAAAAGGATTTCTTGTCACAGTTGCCAGAGGAGGTTTGTCTTTTGTTAAAGCTTGTGGGATTAATTGTTTATTTTTAGGTTGCTTATCGCATCATTGCCTTTTTTACACCGTGCGATTTGACGGTTTGTGCTGCGCGTTTCGCGGACGTGGCAGCGAATTTGTGAAAATGATCGGACGTGGCGACAGAAATGTTTGGAAAAAGGATATGTGAAATTTGATGCACCAAGGTGTGTTGCAGTTTTGAGAAAATAAAATAACATTTAAAAATACATATCTGATAGATTTATATTAAGCTAGATCTTACACTTCTAAGGTATAGGATGATACTGTTATTAATTCTGCAGCAAACAAAGATTTATAGCCAAAGAAAACAAATGATAATGTTTGTTTCGATGAACTGGACCAGATTTAAGAATACGATTAGTCAAGGATTCGTCACAAACTGGTCACTAACTTATTTTTGTTTAGCTTTCGTTTTCTGAGGTGGGGCGGCGAATCGAGCAAATGAGGAAGCGGGAATCCATATCTTCTCACATATGGACCTTCAAGAAGCACATCAGAATCGACGAGAACGCCAGATCGCATATGGACCGTTTGTGACGCTGTTATTGTTGCTAAATGACATTTTTTTCTAGATGTTATGAGCGATCGTCGGGGTAGTCGTTGTACTTGCGGAAGAAGCGAATCATTTCCAATTAGCGGTCCCGAGCGATTCAATCAAGCACTGTTCTAAAGGTTTAAACAAATGCTTTGGCTAGAAAAATTCTTTAAAAGATCAATTGAGGCTCAGTTTAGACCTTCGGTACTTTAGCACTTTCTTAATAAATGATAATAAAAAGGCCGAAAAGAGTAATAACTTCCGTTGTGAAAATCTGATGAAACTCTTATCCCCCTCCTATGCCAATCTAAGTCATTCACTGTTTTCCGTTCAATGACAGAGCTCTAAAAGCAAAAAAACACAAACTTATCAACGTCTCGTAAAATAAAGATTCAAAAATAAAGTTCAAGGTGTGACTTATCAGAGTGAGCGAAGAGTGACCAGATCGATGTGTTATTTCTTTAGCCAAAAATGCAATGGGGCCAACTGAATGATTCTGATGGGAAAAAAGCAAAACGACAGGAAAATCAGGCAAAAAAAACACAAACGTTACTACGTCATGGGAAACGAATTTTTAGACTCTTGTCGCCTTTTGCTGTGATAAATTCTTTTCTAGTGTGATAAATTAAATCTAGTCTCGGGGTTGGGTTTTTCGTATTTTTCAAACGCTAGCGTTACACCGACGTTCGAATGTTCGGCAACAAGTTCGGATCATGGCTCGGTCAAGCTGTGGGATGTGGATAAAGGTATGTTGTTCTAAATTACCTGGTAATGTGGGCTATAAGGTAAGCAAATTTATCCAGACTTCAAGTTTCCTTCTTAAGTAGAATTTATTAACTACATAATTTGACCCTATCTATTCAGGTTTAAATCTGTGTTCAGGGTTAGTATTCTGTTGTTAGTTTTTTTATCAACTATACGAGAATTTTTGTGATTTTCAGCTATCTTTGTTCGTGACCTGGTTCGTCTTCGGGCTGGCGGTTGGATTCGGCGTCTCTTCGCAACCGAAACATTTCTCCTATGTGCAATTGGATCGGAAGACAGAACCGAGAACGCAAAGCTCATCTTGATCGATTTTGACGCATCGTGACCATAGTTATACTCGGATTTAGCGTTTGTGATTTCCTTGTGTGAAAATATTTCCCACATTTTACACACTTTCTTGCATGCCAAAGTTCACATTTTGTTTACCTTTATTTTGCCATTGACGTGCTTTTATTTGCTAAAAATTATTGTCATAACCACAATCTTTTCCTTTTTCTGTCAAGAGTTCCCTTGTGTGATTGTTTCCAGGGGTGTTTTTATTGGTTTCAGATGTGTAGTTCGTTTTCGTTTCACAATTTACACATGCAAGATAAATGGCTTAAACTGGCTCAGAAATAAAAAGAAACGTTGAACGTGTAACAAAATGGTAAGCTTGTTACTTGGAACGTGTGAGTAATCGAACGTTGAAAAGTACACGGCACGTTTGAACATAGTAGGCCTAAAGCCATTGTTTTTTTTCGGAGTCAAAAAATTTTCATTCGTCAAACCCTATTTAGGGTAAGTGATTGAAGGGGTTGGTCAGTAGACTTCAAAACACAAAACACCTGAAATTTAACTTTGCCTAAGCTGTAACTTTGATACGCATACCTCCGCGAAGTGGCCAGTCAAAATGTGCACTAGCTAGAGCCTATTAACTAACCTGACAACGTATTTGCCATCATCGCTTATTTGAGACGTCCAAACACCACCCGAATGGTGGTGTTTGGATTTGTGGTCAATTGAAGATTCGTCGTGATTTGTGAAGTCGCGCCTCAAGGGAAAGAAATTCGATTCGAAGTCCGCCTTATGGGCTCACCTTCAACGTCTTTGGGCCACCATCGGGCCAAGTCTTTTGAAAAATCTCCTGAATTCCATGCCTGATCGACTCAATGAAGCGATAAAAGCAAAAGGAGGACCAACCAAATATTGATTTTTTGAGTAAAAATTGTTAATTCTTTGCAAATGGGACATTACTTTTGTGGAGGGATTTGTTAAGTCACTTATTGTTTTTGTTTTATACTTCAATTTTTATGCAATGCTAACGGATAAATCTTATAACCTTGAAAAGTCGAGTTTTATGGGTAAGCACCAAAAACCCTACACTTTTTCGAATATCGTTTTTATAAGATTTTCGTACGAAAGAAACTCTTGGATGGCAATGGGACAACACTTTTGTGGACCACTGTATAACATTTTGGCCGCTTTATCTATAATCAATTTGCCTTTTAATTTATTTCTTTAGTCATTTCCTCATCGTCGACGCAATATTTCGATCGGGTTTTGGAGAACGTAAAGTTGTCTCAACTTAGGGTCATTTTGAATTTCCTTACTACACGAAATAACTTTCAGAATGACCTCATTTTGTGGTCAAAATGGAAGTCAATGGGTTGCTGAGGGGGAAAAGTCCGAGCACGACAACATGCCAAATGTGCATGAGAAGGAGGTGCCAGCATAAAAGGGTCAAATTATTTGCGCCACGTATCATTTGCGTCAAATTTCGGCTTTTCAACACACTTCCCTACCAACTCTGATTGTTAATTTTTAATTTTTTTCTCGTCAACATTGCTCGCTTCTTTGAAGTCTTCACCGGATCTGTAAATGACATCAAATCGATTTAAAGAGTAAAAAGACAAATCGGTGACGCAAAAATGATTGTTTTCGAGGTTTTTATGGGTATTTAAATGTGTTTTCTTATTGAAAACAGTGAGAACTCAAATTGTGAAGTAGAAAACTGAAAAAAGAGTTGATTCGGAGTTGGTTAGAAGTTGGGAAAAAGTGATTTGTTACAGTGATCTTTAGAAATTTCGTGCAAATGAAACGTGGTGTAAAGGATTTTAGCGCAAAAGAACTTGGGGCTTTTGCTAGCATCTCATGAGGAGAAGTTTACGTTCTCGGCGCTCTGAGATTTGAAAGAGCCTATCTACTAGAAAATTTTGAATAGCAAGACAACACTTAACTAAATCAAAGGCTTCGAATGCTGACCGGAACCAAATGCTGACTTAACAAGTCAGTCAAATCTCAAGAGAAGACCTCAAAGTGAAAAATCATTGTTTAACCTGATAAGGCCGCATGTTTCGAAGATCACTCGTTCTAAACTAAACTCGTTTGAATGGAAGTAAACCCATCCAGCATACAGCCCTGATCTTGCACCTTCTGACTACTTTCTCCAGGCGATGAGCAATTATTTGGCCAAAAAATTGATTTCGAAGATGATTTCAAAAAGTGGCTCACGGATTGGTTGGCATTAAAACCAAAAATTTTCTACGAGAGAGGCATTCAGTCTTTGCTAGTAAAATCGGCTCAAATTATGGAGAATATTTAGAAGGATTGCCGGCCAAATATTGAATAAATCATTTGTTTATTCTTGTTTCCACATTTCACACCCACCAACTAGAAATGTGAAAATTCCAAGCCGAACCTAATTCCAAGCCGAACTTGATTCCACCGTCGTTTTTTTGCCGATCGCTCTGAAATTATAGCAGAAAAAGGCTATAACTTTGCGCAGAATGATTATTTTTAATTACTTTTTGAACTAAAATGCTCAGAAAGGATCGTGAAATGAAAATTATTGGACAGAAGTTTTTCTATAGTGGACTTTTTTCAAAGTCGAAGCCTTCAAACCTTGATCTTGGGTTTCAGATTTTCATACTTTTCCCTTTCTAAAATTTGAGTAATTCTAACAAATTGCTTATAACTTACAAGAATAAAAAAAGCTGGAAGTGTGTATTTTTAGAATATTGAAAAAGTAAGCAAATTGGTCAAAGGTGAAAGATTTTATAGCCGCTTTACGAAATTAAGTTTTGGCTTTTTTGCGTTTTTTGAAAAAGCCCATTTTTTAAAAACTGTCGACGGAATTTAAAAATGATATCGAGATTCGGATTTAGCACACTTTTCCCCATCGAATGGTAGGTATAACATCAATTTTCATCAGAAAAAGCACTTTTGCGCGGATGTGTGAGCTAAAGAGCTAAAGAACCACAGCAAAAATCGCCAAAGAAAGCTCGCTTCTTTTTGACGAGCTTTGGATTCAAACTGTTGACAAAAGTTGAATTGTCTATCATTTTTCGACAAAATTCCCTCGATTCCTATATTTTAGTGGTAATTTAGTGGTGCACAACTTTTGAGAATTGAAAATCTTTTTTTAGGTACTCCGAATAACGGCTCGATGATGACACGCAAGAATGTAATTCAATTTCTTTTCTTGAGCGCTGTAAGCATTTCGAAGTAGTGGCATGCAAGTTTGGATGTTCGCATAACCCCTGTCAGCAATTAAATGATATTTCGATGGTGGAAACGGAAACGCAGTGTCTTTTATGTTGTTGTTGTGGGTTTTGAACTAGTTAACTCAAAAATAAAACAGTCAAATATTAAACACAGACAAAAGCAAAGTTAAATCAAAAAATGAAAGCAAAATTCTAGTCGGTCCCCGTTGCAGTGGAGGTGGCGGTTGTTGCAGTGGAGGATGCAATGTGAGTTCTAGAAAAGAAGAAGTTAGACATAGATAGAGGTTGAAATGAAAAATCGGCTAGATAGCAAGGCTCAACTTTATGCTTATCAATGCAATTTAAGTGTCACGGTTGCACTTGTTCGGGTGGTGGTGGCGGTGGAGGAGCTGGGAAAGCTGGCCTCTTTCTCCACGTCGTTTTGGTCCTATTTTTGGGTGAGTTTTCGAAATATGCTAAAGCCAGGATATTATGATTCACTTCTCACCTAGCTTTGTTGAGTTGTCAAAAAGATTAAGGGGAATTTTTGGCCAGCAGTTAAAAGCACAAAGATGTCTCATTTCCGGACGAATTCGATCGAATTTTTCTGATCGAAAATCAAATGATAAATGAGTTATTGATGGGAGATTTTGAAAGATAGAGATCATGATTTTGATCTAAAATTTCACACAGGATGAGGGGAACATAAGAAATCAAACAACGATACAAAAAATTGGATTTGATGGAAACTGACGACTGGGTTACGGTAGTTTCTGTCTGTCTGTCTGTTTTCTCGGCCGTGTTTTGACTCCACTCACCACCATATTCTCAAAAGCATCACAGGAGGCCGAGCAATATATTGGCCGATGCATCATTGAGACGATCCACGGCTTGGTCGTCTAGAAATTGAGCAGAATATTATAGATACAATGTTTTTAAGGCTTTGCTTATCAAAAAAATCTTTGATTTCGCTGACCCTGCTAGTCAATTTTGCACCAAAATTCTCGCTAAAGCTGGTAAAAGCTAGATTTTCCCCACCTTGGATAAATATTATAAATTCTAATTCATTCCAATTCAGACATTCAACAATTTCATTCACCGCTTCACCACGCCGATCGCCGACAAAGATCACCGACTTTGAGCCGTTTTGAGTGCGTTTTCCTATAATACATCCCGACGAAATGCACTTCGCCAACATCGAAGCTAAATTTTATTATAAGAAAATTCACACGAAACTACTGAAAGTAAAAGTTAAGCCCAAATCCAAATGGACTTAGTGCGAGGCGCTAGCCGCTAGTCTTCGCACAAAGTCCAAGTTCATTTTCAGGAGCTTTTCAGCTTTAGCAAGTTCTCTAAGAGCTTCTCTTCCCAAAAAAGGCTACCGCAACCCATGGGTGAAGCTTTTACTCATTTACTCTTTCTCACCTCCAAAACTGATTGTCCCTTTCCTCTTTCTCGGTGATCGGCGTGGTGAAGCGGTCAATGAAATTTTTGAATGTCTGAATTGGAATGAATTAGAATTTTATAATCTTTCAAACATTGTCCTCATTCTCGTGATTCCCCGCCAAAACCATATAGGGAACCGAGGAGGCGATCGGTTCGATGATCTTCATGAATTCATCCCATAAGTGCCGTCATCGTACCCGAGATTGTAAGCGATATCACCTAAAAAGGAGGCAAGTTTACGGTTACAAAAGTCAAGTTTTATGCACAGAGTTGGTGTTTAGCCTAGAATCCAGATTGAACAGCCAATGGGAACAATTAAAAGCTACCTCCGAAATCCAACCGCTAACTCACACCCACCGCAACCTGTTTTCTCGAATTTTCAACTTTCTTCTTAGATTTCTTCAAAAGTTTCTAGCTTTATAACTGACCGAATTAAACGAAAGTAACCAATGAAAACAAAACAGAGGCTTTTGATTTGATCTGCCTTTTAAAAATTTCAAGTTTTATGCTATATCAGAGACCCAAGCCCCAGTGCCAAAAAGCAAGCCTGCCAAGTCAGCAAAAATGTATTCGCATTCAAGTTGGCACTCATCAATATGGAAAACGACATCGATTTTGCCGTCCTTGACATAATTCTGCAAAGTGGTGATCGTTTGAGGCAATTTCCCGGCCTCTTTCAATCCCAAATCGGCAAAGAGAGCGGCCCGGATCTGAAGGGAAGAATTGGGGTATTTTCAGGATACGATATGACAAGCTGTCTTCTACTAAAGGTAAAATCAAAATTTGTATTTGAAAAGACGAATCGACCGTACCCCATTTTTACCCTGTTTATCCAACATTCGGAAAGAGTAGATTTCCGTGGAAAGACCCTCATCCGAACCGACTCGATAATCTTGGAGATTTGTCATTTAATATTCAAAAAATCAAGTATTCTGTCGGGATTTTTCTAAGAATTCTATCCACTGACAGTATCTCAATTCCGGTTCCAAATTCGTAATTCTAACGCGATGCGTGTAGCGAACGGACTGGGAAAATTTCAATGAAAAAAATCTTTGTGGTGGTCATTCGTGAAATCTGAAAAGAAACCCATTTTTCTTTATTCTGGAAAATTTTGAGCAAAAAAATTCTTGTAATTCTTGTAATTAACATCAAATCTTTGCCTTTAGTTTTACTTTTTTGGAAAAACTAGTTATCATCAGTTTGCTTTGGCTTTACAAAGTTGGGTATTTGGCCCTGACAGTAGGTACTTACACAGTTGAAGTATCAAGACTACGGTAGTAAGAGAAACTTGACAAAACTACGTTAAGAAAGTTGCGTTATTGGGAATTCAGTTGGTGGTAGACATGGGAAATTCCAAGCCGAACTTAATTCCACTTTCGTTTTCGTGGCCGATTGCTTAGAAATTTGGTCTACCTATAGGAATCGACATTTTCAGCTTGTAGCCACAATTTCAGAGCGATCGGCAAAGAAACGACCGAGAAACGACGGTGGAATTAGATTCGGCTTGGAATTTTCCCATTTCTAGTTGGTGGATGTGAAATGTGGTAAAAAGAATAAACATTGTGTTTTATCATGTTTATGTTTTATTATGTTTTATTCAATCTTTGGCATGCAATCCTTCTCAATATTCTCCATAATTTGAGCCGATTTTACTAGCAAAGACTGAATGTCTCTCTCGTAGAAAATTTTTGGCTTTAATACGAACCAATCCGCGAGCCACTTTTTGTTGTTATAAAAAATGTTAAATAAAAATGTTATACAGTGGTCCACAGAAGTGTTGTCCCATTGCCATCCAATAGTTTCTTTCGTACAAAAATCTTGTAAAAAACGATATCCGAAAAAAGTGTAGGGTTTTTGGTGCTTCATTGAGTCGATGAGGCATGGAATTCAGGAGATTTTTCAAAAGACTTGGCCGGATGGTGGCCCAAAGACGTTGAACGTGAGCCCATAAGGCGGCCTTCGAATCGAATTTCTTTCCCCTGAGGCGCGACTTCACAAATCACCACAAATGCTCAATTGGGTTGAGATCCGAGCAACAGGGAGGTGGATTGATCAATTGAACACGATTTGCCGCCAAACAATCCCGGCAGACGAGTTCTGGTACCATTTGGAAGTGTCACCAACCATTCCATCACCAGTCTCGACTTGGGATTCGGGTCGTTGTCCTGGTAAAGCATCCATCCGGGAGGCATCGGCTCACACGTTTCCAGAAACAAAACCCTGCCTACCATTTTGTTACAAGTTTACCGTTTCTTTTCTATTTGCGAGCCAGTTTAAGCCATTTATCTTGCATGTGTAACGAAAACGAAAGCAACACAAGACAATCACACAAGGCAACTCCTGACAGAAAAAGGAAAAGATTGTTGTCATGACAATAATTTTTAGCAAATAAGCGCAGGTCAATGGCAAAATACAGGCAAACAAAATGTGAATTTTGGCATACAAGAAAGAAAAAAGTGAGAAATATTTTAAAGGAAATCACAAAGGCCAACCGAGAGAGCCATGAAAACTCATTGAAAGCCGAAAAAAATTCTTCAGAAAAACACAATAATGCAATAGACCCACAATGCGAATATAATTATGGATAAGATGCGTCAAAATCGATCAAGATGAACTTTGCCTTGTCCTCTTTGCTGTATTCCGATCTAATTGCACATAGGAGAAATGTTTCGGTCGCGAAGAGACGCACAATCCTCTTCATTCCCTGAAGACGAACCAGGTCACGAACAAAGATACCTCAAAATCACAAAAATTCTCGTATAGTTGACAAAAAAATTAATTACTCTGAACATAGATTTAAACTTGAATAGTTCATTAACTATTCAAGTTTAAATCTATGTTCTATGAGCCAAATCATCTAGTTATTAAATTCCACTTTAGAAGAAAACTTGAAGTCTGGACAAATTTGCTTATCTTATAACCTACATTACTAGGTAATTTAAAACAGCATACCTTTATCCATATCCCACAGCTTCACCGAGCCATCGAAAGAACTTGTTACCAAAAGTCCCGAGTCGAGGAATTGGAATGAAGTAATGGGCGACCTGTGACCATCTACGTCGTGCAGGCGATGAATGAACGAACCACCGTCACGAATGTCCCAAACCTAAAGAAAAGGAAGCAGTTGTCATACGATTGATCAAACGTACCCCAACGTCCGAGTCGGTATAGCAGGCGACCAAACTGTTTCCGCGAAGTTGCATGTCAGAGCAGCGAATTCCATGATGGCGAAGAATCGCGATGCATGCTTAAAGAAACAAATATAGAGGAGATTGCGAAAGAATAGCGAACCAGTAAAACCTACTTCCTCTTCGCACATCCCAGACGCAAATCGTCTCACTTGCCGAGACGACAAGATCGCGCTCTGGCTCAAACTAAAACCGATTCGTGATTAAAGCCAAGAATTGACAATTCAACCCACCAAAAGTGAATAGACTGGATAGGTGTGACCTGTCAGCGTCTGCAAACACTCCCCCGTCTGCACATTCCAAACCTTATAGAATATTATAAAATTGTACAAAAAAAAGCATTAAATACCTTCACAGTACAATCATCGGCACCAGACACAACCCGAACTCCATCAAATTGCACACAGCAAACCTGAAATTTAACTCTGCTTAGGCTACAACTTTGATACACACACCTCCCCCAAGTGGCCAGTCAAAATGTGAAGGCATTTCCCGTCGACAATGTCCCAGACTCGGAGCATTCCATCGCACGATCCAGATACAAGACTAAAACATTATGCTTTTGGCCAAGGTATAAAATTTAGATTACTGACGTTGTGCCATGTAGACTTATGCAGGTAACACCACCCGTATGCCCTTGCAGAACACGACGCTGTGCACCGGTTTGACCACACCAAACGCGCACCGTTCGATCAGTTGAGCCACTTAAATATTGCAATAGACTTTGTTGTCACAAGTATTTTTGCCTAAAAAATTGTTAGCTTCTTTGACAACACTTATCAATTGCACTAGCTAGATCCTACTAACTAACCTGGCAATGTATTTACCATCATCGCTCACTTGAGACGTCAAAACATGACCCATATGGCCATTTAGAGTGAAAGCCAGCTGAAAGAGGACGTAAAATAATGGTAAAACGAAACAAACTTGAGCATCATCAACATTCCAGACCCGCAACTTTTTATCATTATCAGAATTAGCAATGATAAGACCAGAGTGAACTTGTAGACAATTGATCGAATGTTGATCGAGGCTCTGAAAACAATTTTTATAGCCGAAGCATTCGTCCAAACCTTTAGAACAGTGCTTGATTGAATCGGTCGGGATCGCCAATTGGAAATGATTCGCTGCTTCCGCAAGTACAGTGACTTCCATGACGATAGCTCATAACACCTAGAAAAAAATTTAATTCAGCAACAAGTTGCGTCACCAACTGTCCATATGCGATCTCGCGTTCTCGTCGATTCTGATGTGATTCTTGAAGGTCCATTTGTGAGACGATTGTGATCCCCGCTTCCTCATTTGCTCGATTTGCCGCCCAGCCTCCGAGAAAACGAAAACTAAACAAAAATAAGTTAGGTACAAGCTTGTGACGAATCCTTTACTAATGGTATTCTTAAATGTGATCCAGTTCATCGAAACAAACATTATCATTTGTTTTCGTTGGCTTTACACCTTTATTTGCTTTAGAATTAATAACATTATTGTCCTATATCTTAGAAGTGTAAGATCTAGTTTAATCTAAATCTATCAGATCTCTATTTTTAACTATATATTATTTGCTCAAAACTGTAACACACCTTGGGGCATCAATTTTCACATATCCTTTCTCCAAACATTTCTGCCGCCACGTTTCATCATCTTCACAAATCCGTTGCCACGTCCGCGAAACACTAGCACAACTCCCCAAATCGCGCGGTGTCAAATGGGCGATGATGCGATATGCAACCTAAAATTAAACAATGAATTCCACAAGCTTTAACAAAAGACAAACCTCCACTGGCAACTGTGACAAGAAATCCTTTTGGAACAATGGATCGATGATATGCCTTAATTTGAAAATTTCACTGTTTAAGGTCATTTTCTTTACTCTTCGAGTTGAGTATTTGCATCACCAGCCACTAAGAGCGCGTTCCGGTCGACGAGAAGTTTCTTGGCTTGTTCCCGGCTCTCGTCGGTCCCTTCCTCGAGCAGCTCCAACAGCTTTTGGTTCAGTTCCACTTGGATGTTGACCGGCTTTGTGAGCACGGGTGATGGCTTTGAATCGGGCTTCAACTTCGCCGACAGTTTCTCCAGTAGATCCGCTTGGAAAGTCTCGAGTTGAGTCTTTGCTCTCCGGCTTGTCCGACATCTTCTCTAAATGAAAAATTAAAGCAGAGATAAAACCGTAAATAATAAAAACCCCGAACAAATTACTACCAACGTAAATATTGTAATAGTACCCGACCCGTCGGTAGACCTGCATAACGATATTATCTATACAAAGGGGAAGTTCATGTTTGAGCCTTCAGATCTCGCTTGCTTGTACAGCTTTCAACTTCTTTCATTGGAAAGCCAAGAATGTCAGCTTTGGACATCTCACACAGCAAATTCTCATAGGTGAATGCCTCAAAAGGCTTATCAATACACAAATATCGATAATTATCGATAAGGTTTATGAGGTGCCTACCCAATGAAACAATTCTCAGATTGAGAGCTGTTCTAGAAACAGAGAGCTGAACGTTCAAACATTAATATGCCGTTTGTATCGATAAAATCGGTAAGCAAGTCTACCCGTAGGGCACTAGAGGGATGGGGTACTATTAGAGTATCTATGGTAGATAAGCCTACTAAAAGGATTGACCAGAATGAATTTTATCGCAAAAAGTGTCTTTAAATAGACGAAAGGGGCACGTTTTCGAACTCGCCATCAAAAGGGTTACGGTAGAATGTAAACAAAAATCATATTTTGTGGTTCCAAAATGAAATTGTTATGAATGAAATTGTTGAATGTCTGAATTGAAATGAATTCGAATTTTATAATATTTCAAGCACAAACGTTGTCCTCATTCTCCTGATTCCCCGCCAAAACCATATAGGGGGCCGAGAAGGCGATCGGTTCGATGATCTTCATGAATTCATCCCCATAAGTGCCGTCATCGTACTCGAGATTGTAAGCGATATCACCTCAAAAGGAGACAAGTTTATGGTTACAAAAGTCAAGTTTTATGCACAGAGTTGGTATTTAGCCTAGAGTCCAGATTGAACAGCCAAGGGCAACAGTTAAAAGCTATCTCCGAGATCCAACTGTTAACTCAGACCCACCGCAACCTGTTTTCTCGAATTTTAAACTTTTCTTCTTAGATTTCTCTAAAAGTTTCTGGCTTTATAACTGACCGAATTAAACGAAAATGATCAGTGAAAACAGAGCAGAGGCTTTTGATTTGATTTGGCTTTATGATTTGACCTGCCTTAATGTCAAGTTTTAGCCTTTTGATTTGATCCGCCTTTAAAAAAATGTCAAGTTTTAGGCCATATCCGAGACGCAAGCCCCAGTGCCTAAAAATCAAGTCAGCCAAGTCAGCAAAAATGTATTCGCATGAAAGTTGGCACTCACCAATATGGAAAACGATATCGATTTTGCCGTCCTTGACAAAATTCTGCAAAGTGGCGATCGTTTGCGGCAATTTCCCCGGCTTCTTTCAATCCCAAATCGGCAAAGAGAGCGGCCCGGATCTGAAGGGAAGAATTGGGGTATTTTCAGGATACGATATGACAAGATGTCTTCTACTAAAGGTAAAATCAAAATTTGTATTTGAAAAGACGAATCGACCGTACCCCATTTTTGCGCTGTTTATCCAACATTCGGAAAGAGTAGATTTCCGTGGAAAGACCCTCATCCGAACCGACTCGATAATCTTGGAGATTTGCATTTAATATTGAAAAAATCAAGTATTCTGTCGGTATTTTTCTAAGAATTCTATCCACTTACAGTATCTCAATCCCGGTTCCAAATTCGTCATTCGAAGGCGATGCGCGTAGCGAACGGACTGGGAAAATTTCAATGAAAACTACCGTAGTCCGGTGAAGAGTAAGGGATCAGATTTATTTGGATAAACTACCGTAATCCCAAAAGCAATGATGCTAAATCTTCTTTAGAAAACCTTAGAATATGTTGTAGCTGTGCTAGTTTAAATAAAAATTTGAAAAATTAGGGGTCGGGACTCGAACCCGCCGGAGCCGAAGGGGACGTGTGAGCCGTGGACGAGCGCGCTCCCCACCGCGCCAGGAGAGCCAGCTGCCCGGCTGGTTTCTTGTATAAGCTGAGATGTTATTGGGGTTAAAATTAACTCTCAATTCCATTGGAATGGAGTTGAGAGTTAATTTTACGTTGCGTTCTGGCCTCGAAACTTTTGTCTATGCCACACTAGCGAGTTCGACTCCCGGTGTTCCGCCACACTTTGATTTTTCTAAATTTTCTTTTAAATGGCATAATGATATTCTAACGCTTTTCTAAGGCAACTTTTCACATTTAAACTGCCTTAACCTATATTATATTCAATTTTGTCTATCAAGCTTTGACGTCACCTTTGATTTCCCTCTATCCGTCCATTCTGTCACCCTTGATGTGTCATTTTTGTAGACCAAATTCGCTTTTCCCGTAAATCACATAGGATTTCGTGTTGGAAAAAGCGTCTGAAAAAAAGGATTACTGTATTCCACTGTACACTCACATTTATGATGTGTAATCCACGTGACAGCCATCGCAGTCATATCTCCGTGCGTGGACAAATGGACTTGTTCGGGAGTGATCGAGGCATTGATTGAGATGGAAAAGATGAAGAAAATGATGGTAGAAATGAGTCTCATTTGAGAATTGACTGAAAAGAAAGGGTTACTGTAACTGGGGAATCGTTTTAAAGAGTGTTTTGAAATGAAAAGAGTGTTTTGAAACGCTCGTTTGTCTGAAAATTGGTACGGACACTGAAAAATGCAAAGACTACTGTAATGGCTGTTTGCTAGCCTGATTTTAGCAGCAAAAAAAGAAACAATGCTTTACGATAGCCATCAGCAATGATAAGACCAGAGTGAACTTGTAGACAATTGATCGAATGTTGATCGTGGCTCTGAAAACAATTTTTATAGCCAAAGCATTTGTCCAAACCTTTAGAACAGTGCTTGATTGAATCGGTCGGGATCGCCAATTGGCAATGATTCGCTGCTTCCGCAAGTACAGTGACTTTCATGCCGATCGCTCATAACATCTATATAAATTTAATTTAGCAACCAGTTGCGGCACTAACTGTCCATATGCGATCTCGCGTTCTCGTCGATTCTGATGTGCTTCTTGAAGGTTCATATGTGAGAAGATTGTGATTCCCGCTTCCTCATTCGCTCGATTGGCCGCCCAACCTCCGAGAAAATGAAAGCTAAACAAAAATAAGTTGGCGACGAGTCTTTTTCTAATCGTATTCTTAAATGTGAAAAACTCTTGTTCATAAAACAAACACTATCATTTGTTTTCTTTCGCTTTATATCTTTGTTTGCTGTAGAATTAATAACAGTATCATCCTATACCTTCGAAGTGTTAAAATCTAGTTTAATCTAAATCTATCAGATATGTATTTTCAAATGTTATTTTATTTTCTCAAAACTGTAACACACCTTGGTGCATCAAATTTCACATATCCTTTTTCCAAACATTTCTGTCGCCACGTCCGATCATTTTCACAAATTCGCTGCCACGTCCGCGAAACGCGCGCACAAACCGTCAAATCGCACGGTGTAAAAAAGGCAATGATGCGATAAGCAACCTAAAAATAAACAATTAATCCCACAAGCTTTAACAAAAGACAAACCTCCTCTGGCAACTCTGACAAGAAATCCTTGCTCTCCCACTTGTCCAACATCTCCCCTAAATGAAAAATTACAGCAGAGATTACACCGTAAATAATAAAAACCCTCGAACAAATTACTATTAACGTAAATATTGTAATTGTACCCTCCCCGTGGGTAGACTTGCATAACGATATTATCTAGATAAAGGGGAAGTTCATGTTTGAGCCTACGAGTATCTACGGTAGATAAGCCTACTAAAAGAATTGATCAGAATCAATTTTATCGCAAAAAGTCTCTTTAAATACACGAATAGGGCGCGTATTAGAACCGGCCATCAAAAGACCTACGGTAGTATGTACAGAAAACCATATTTTGTGATTCCACTTTTCATTCCATTGCGCTTTTCAGCGCTTCACCCACAAAATAAGCTTTAGGGCATATTCTCGTAGGTAAGGTTAGGTTTGTCGGCAGGATTGAAAAGAAGCTGGGATGTTGAAATTGCGGGCGGCGACGATTTACGGGTCGTTAAGCTAAACGGGTCAAAGAGTTTTGCATTCGTCACCTTTAACCGCAAAGCTTGTTTTGTGTTCTAGCACAAAGTTTTCATCGCTAAATATAAGTAACTTGACTATAATTGTAAATGAAGCAAAAGAACACCTTAAAATAGCTTAAAATTCCTTGCTGCCAAAGAAGCACTTCTGCGATGGAGACTGCTGATCGGATGATGGTCGATGACCGGAAAACGAGCGAGGAAATCGTCGTGAGTGATGAGGATCAACACCACGATTGGATACATATGCTTAATATAAGAGAAGATTTTATTGGAGAAAAACTTAAGTTAGGCAAACGTCACTTCTTTGTTTTACATTTTGATGGAGCTGCTGCCAACGCTAGTGAGTTTGTTCAAGTGCTCGTTTCAAGTGCTCGGTTAGCGCTTGTGATTTCGTTTCAAATGTTTCCCATATTTTACACACTTTCTTGTATGCCAAAGTTTTCGTATTGTTAACCTTTTTCCTTTAACCTTTTTTTATTTGCTAACAATTATTCTCATACCAAGGGTCATTTCCTTTTTTGTCGAGAGTTTTCTTGTGTGATTGTTTTCAGAGGTGTTTGTGTTGCTTTAAATTGTGTCTTTTTTTGGTAACTATATGGCAAGATAAATGGTTTAAACTTGCTCAGAAATAAAAGGAAACAGGCTAAACTTTTTAACTTTTTTCTATAAAGAGTAAAAAGGCGAATCGGTGACGCGAAAACGATTGTTTTTGAGGTTTTTATAGGTAGGGAAATGTGTTTCTTATTGAAAACAGTGAGAACTAAAATTGTGAAGTAGAAAACTGAAAAAAAGGTTGCTTAGAAGTTGGAAAAAAGTAATTTTTTTACAGTGATTTTCAAAAAAACCCGCCGTATTCGTGTATTTAAAGAGACTTTGCGATGAATTTCATTCTGGTCAATTCGTTTAGCATGTGTATGTACCGTAAATACTGTCATAATTATCGTGTGTTCCTCTCAAGAAATACTGTGAAATAGGAAACGTCGGAATCAACAGTTTGTAAGATATTAAGTTTATTTTAAATGCACTCGTTTCCTATTTTGCACTATTTCTTGAGAGGAACACTATTCATCATATCCCACCCCCTCTAGTGCCCCACAGGTAGACTCGCTTATCGATACTCTAGAAACTGAGATCTGAACGGGCAAACATGAGCATGCCGTTTGTATCGATAATATCGACACAGTGGTCCACAAAAGTATTGTCCCATTGCCATCCAAAAGCTTCTTTCATACGAAAATCTTGCAAAAAAAACGATATACCAAAAAAGTGTAGGGGTTTTTTTTTTGCTTACCCATAATATTTAAGTGTCTCGTCTGATCGAACGGTGCGGGTTTGGTGTGGTCAAACCGGTGTACAGCGTCATGTTCTGCAGGGGCATACGGGTGGTGTTACCTGCATAAGTCTACATGGCACAACGTGAGTGATCTAAATTTTGGGCTTTAGCTAAAAGCATAATATTTTAGTCTTGTTTCTGGATTGACCGATCAAACGCTCCGAGTCTGGGACATTGTCGACGGGAAATGCCTTCACATTTTGACTGGCCACTTGGGGATGGTATTTGTATCAAAGTTATAGCCTAAGCAAAGTTAAATTTCAGGCCTTTTGTGTTTTGAAGTCAACTGACCAACTGTCAATGGCTCACCCTAAATAGGGTTTGACGGATGAAAATTCTCACTCCAAGAAAAAAAATGGTTTTGGGCCTACCGTTTCTCTTTATTTGTAAGCCAGTTTAAGCCATTTATCTTGCATGTGTAAATTGTGTAACAAAAACGACTGAAAGCAATACAACCACCCCTGGAAACAATCACACAAGGGAAAGCAGGTCAATGGCAAAATAAACAAAATGAACACTTTGGCATACAAGAAAGTCTGCAAAACGTGAGAAATATTTGAAAGAAAATCACAAACACTAATCGAGTGAGCCATGAAAAGGCAGACGAATTGAAACCCAAAAAAAATTATTCAGAAAATCACGATAAGGCAAAAGAGCAAAAATACCAATATACCTATGGATACGATGCATCAAAATCGATCAAGATGAGCCTTGGGCCCTCGTTACGCGGTTCACTTGCACAGACGAGCAATGTTTCGGTTGCGAAGAGATGCCGAACCAAACCGCCAGCCTGCAGACGAAGGAGGTCACGAACAAAGATACCTGAAAATCACAAAAATTCTCGTATAGCTGTCAATAAATTCTAATTCAAAGAAAACTTGGAGTCTGGATAAATTTGCTTATCTTATAGCCCACATTACCAGGTAATTTAGAACAACATACCTTTATCCACATCCCAAAGCTTCACCGCGCCATCGTAAGAACTTGTCACCAAAAGTCCCGAGTCGAGGAATTGGAATGAAGTGATGAGCGACCTGTGACCATTTACGTCGTGCAGGCGATGAATGAACGAACCACCGTCACGAATGTCCCAAACCTAAAGAAAAAGAACTAGTTGTCATACGATTGATTAAACGTACCCCAACGCCCCAATCGACATAGCAGGCGACCAAAATGGTTCCGCGAAGTTGCATGTCATAGTAGCGCCTGTCGCCACTCCGAAGAATTGCGATGCATGCTAAAAGAAACAAATATAAATGATATCGCAACAGAAAAGCCAACAAATAAAACCCACTTCCTCTTCGCAAATCCCAGACGCGCATCGTTTTATCCTCACTTCCCGAGACGACAAGATTGCGCTTCGGGTCAAACTAAAACAGAGTCCTAATTAAAGACAAAAATTGACAATTTAGCTCACCAAAAGTGAAACGACTCGTTCCGTATGACCTGTCAGCGTGTGCAAACACTCCTCCGTGTGTACATTCCAAACCTAATCGAATATTATAAAATTGAACAAACAAGCATTCCAAACCTTTACAGTAAAATCACTAGCACCAACCACAACCCGAATTCCATCAAATTGCACACAACGCACCTGAAATTTAACTTTGCTGAAGCTATAACTTTGATACACACACCTCCTCCAAGTGGCCAGTCAAAATGTGAAGGCATTTCCCGTCGACAATGTCCCAGACTCGGAGCGTTTGATCGGTCGATCCAGAGACAAGACTAAACTATTATGCTTTTAGCTAAAGCCCAAAATTGAGATAACTCACGTTGTGCCCTGTAGACTTATGCAGGTAACAGAACCCCTATGCCCCTGCAGAACATGACGCTGTACACCGGTTTGACCACACCAAACCAGCACCGTTCCATCAGTCGAGCCACTTAAATATTGCAATAGACTTTGTTGTCACAAGTATTTTTGTCTAGAAGTTTGCTAGCTCTATTGGTAACACTTATGAATTGCAATAACTAGAGTCTATTAACTAACCCGACAATGTATTTGCCATCATCGCTCACTTGAGACGTCCAAACACCACCCATATGACCAGTTAGAGTGAAAGGCGGCTAAATTAAGACGTACAATAATAGTTAAACGAAACAAACTTGAGCATCATCAACATTCCAAACCTGCAACGCATGATGATAACCAGCTACGATACGACCAGAGTGAATTTGTAGACAAGTAGACATGTTGTAGACATGTTCATCCTGAGCCTAAAAGCAAATTTTATGGCCAAAACATTTGTTTAAACCTTTTGGAGAGTGCTTGATTGAATCGGTCGGGATCGCCAATTCGAAATGATTCGCTTCTTCCGCAAGTATAACGACTTCCACGACGATCGCTCATAACATCTAGAAAAAACTTCATTTAGCAACAAGTCAGGCACTAACTGTCCATATGCGATCTCGCGTTCTCGTCGATTCTGATGTGCTGCTTGAAGGTCCATATGTGAGATTGTGATTCCCGCTTCCTCATTTGCTCGATTGGCCGCCCAGCCTCCGAAAAAACGAAAGCTAAACAAAAATAAGTTAGTGACGAGTCTTTTTCTAATTGATTTCTTAAGTGTGAACCAGTTTATTTAAACCAACATAATTCTTTGTTTTCTTTCGTTTTAAATCTTTATTTGCTCTGGAATTAATAACATTATTATCCTATACCTTAGAAGTGTAAGATCTAGCTTAATATATCAGATACGTATTTTTAACTGTATATTATTTGCTCAAAACTGTAACACACCTTGGCACATAAAATTTCACATATCTTTTCTCCAAACATTTCTGTCGCCACGTCCGATCATCTTCACAAATTCGCTGCCACGTCCGCGAAACGCCAGCACAAACCGTCAAATCGCACGGTGTCAAAAAGGCGATGATGCGATAAGCAACCTAAAATTAAACAATCATTTCCACAAGCTTTAACAAAAGACAAACCTCCTCTGGCAACTGTGACAAGAAATCCTTCTGGAAAAATGGATCGATGATATCCCTGAATTTGAAAATTTTGACTGTTTAAGGTCATTCTCTTTACCCTTCGAGTTGAGTCTTGCTGCTCTCCGGCTTGTCCGACATCTCGCCTAAATGAAAAATTACAGCAGAGATAACACCGTAAATTAAACCCTAAGCAAAATACTACCACTAGCTAGCGTAAATATTGTAATGGTATCGCAGCCATTACAATGAATGAAAGCTTTCCAATGAAATAAGTTGATAGCTGTTCTAGAAAGAGAGATCTGAACGTTCAAACATTAACATGCCGTTTGTACCGATAAAATCGATAAGCAAGTCTACCCTTGAGGCACACGCGCCACCCTGGGGCTGGGGGAAAAGAGGCTAATAATTTTCGTAGTGAAAATCTGATCAAACTCTTCTCCCCCTCTCATGTCAATCTACGTCATTTACTGTTTTCCGTTGAATCACAGAGCTCAAAAAGCAAAAAAAAAACACAAACTGATCAACGTCTCGCAAAAGAAGGTTTAAACATAAAGTTTAAAGTGTGACTTAGCTAAAAAGCACAATGGAATGGAGCTTTTTGAAAAGCGAAACCACAAAAGATGGCTTTGTGTACATCCTACCGTAGGCCTTTTGATGGCAAGTTCTAAAACTCGCCCCTTTTCTGTCTGGAAAGAGACTTTTTGCGATAAAATTCATTCTGACAATTCGTTCAGCATCTTGTATGTACCGTAAATACTGTATTAGTGCCCCATTCCTCCAGTGTACTGTGTCAACTCGAAGAGTAAAGAGAATGACCTTAAACAGTTAGTGCCCCAACTTGTTGCTAAATTAAGTTTTTTCTAGATGTTATGAGCGATCGTCGTGGAAGTCGTTGTACTTGCGGAAGAAGCGAATCATTTCCAATTAGGGGTCCCGAGTGATTCAATCAAGCACTGTTCTAAAGGTTTAAACAAATGCTTTGGCTAGAAAAATTCTTTTTAGGGTCACGATGAACATTTGATCACGTGTCTACAAATTCACTGCTCTTATCGTTACTGGTTCAGATGATAATACGTTGCGGGTTTGGAATGTTGATGATGCTCAAGTTTATTTCGTTTTTATTATCCATTTTTGTATGTCTTAATTTAGCCGGCTTTCACTCTAACTGGTCATATGGGTGGTGTTTGGACGTCTCAAGTGAGCGATGATGGCAAATACATTGTCGGGTTAGTTAATAGACTCTAGTTATTGCAATTCATAAGTGTTCCCAATGAAGCTAACAAAATTCTAAACAAAAATTCTTGTGACTACAAAGTTTATTGCTAGAGTACGGTGATGGATCTTGATACTTCCTTTCTACCTTACTCGTGCCCACTGCAAGGTCAAAGACTTTCGTATAGCTTCAAACTTCGTAAACCCACAGAAAACTGATAACTAGTTTTTCAAAAAAAGTAAAACTAAAGGCAAAGATTTGTTACAGTGATCTTTAGAAATTTGGTGCAAATGAAACGTGGCGCAGAGGATTTTAGCGTAAAAAAACGTGGGGCTTTTGCTAGCATCTCATGAGGAGAAGTTTACGCTCTCGGTGCTCTGAGATTTGAAAGAGCCTATCTACTAGAAAATTTTGAATAGCAAGACAACACTAACTAACTCAAATGCTCCGAACACTTAACTAAGGCTCCGAATGCTGACCGGAATCAAATGTTGACTTAACAAGTCAGTCGAATCCCAAGAGAAGATCTCAAAGTGAAAAATCATTGTTCAACATGATAAGGGCGCATGCTTCGAAGATCACTCGTTCTAAGCTAAACTCATTTGAATGGGAGTAAACCCATCCATCCAGCATACAGCCCTGATCTTGCACCTTCTGACTACTTTCTCCAGGCGATCAGCAATTATTTGGCCAAAAAATTGATTTCGAAGATGATTTCAAAAAGTGGCTCACGGATTGGTTGGCATTAAAACCTAAAATTTTCTACGAGATAGGCATTCAGTCTTTGCTAGTAAAATCGGCTCAAATTATGGAGAATCTTTAGAAGGATTGCATGCCAAATATTGAATAAAACATTTGTTGATTCTTTTTGCCACATTTCACACCCACCAACTAGAAATAGGAAAATTCCAAGACTAAGAAATGGAAAAATTCCAAGCCGAACTTGATTCCACCGTCGTTTTTTTGCCGATCGCTCTGAAATTATAGCAGAAAAAAGCTATAACTTTGCGCAGAATGATTATTTTTAATTACTTTTTGAACTAAAATGCTTAGAAAAGATCGTGAAATAAAAATTATTGGACAGAATTTTTTCTATAGTGGACTTTTTTCAAAGCCGAAGCCTTCAAACCTCGATCTTGGGTTTGAGATTTTCATACTTTTCCCTTTCTAAAATTTGAGTAATTCTAACAAATCGCTTATAACTTACAATCATAAAAAAAGGCTGGAAGTGTCTATTTTTAGAATATTGAAAAAGTAAGCAAATTGGTCAAAGGTGAAAGATTTTATAGCCGCTTTACGAACTTAAGTTTTGGCTTTTTTGCGTTTTTTGAAAAAGTTCATTTTTTTAAAAACTGTCGATGGAATTTAAAAATGATATCAAGATTCGGATTTAGCACACTTTTTCCCATCGAAAAAGATCATCCGCCGTATGCTGGATGGATTATCCGCCGTATGCTGGATGGATTATCCGCTGTATGCTGGATGGTGTACGATCGCTGTATGCTCAGGGCTGGATGGATCAGGGTTATGTATGAACTAACTTTGATTGGTTATTATGATGCTCACTGACCATTTACAGTGCGCGGGAGCTTGTAGCAGATAAAGTACTGAACTAGAATATAGTTCGATGTTAAGATACTATTATATTTAAGGTTTGGATCAAAAAGCAAAACGTCTGACCGGAGGCGGATTTGCAAATCGGAGAGTCTAAGAATAAGTACTTGTAACGACCGAATTCGGGACGACTGAAAAGGATTAAACTTTAACGGGGCACGGTACTTGAAGTGTAACCAAAAATATTTCATATTATTCCCACCTGTATCTAGCTATCAAAAATATTAGCGAGAATCGCAAAATTCCAACGATAACTTCCAACAATTTTTCGTTAACTATATGGCAAGATAAATGGTTTAAACTTGCTCACAAATAAAAGGAAACAGGCTAAACTTTTTAACTTTTTTTTATAAACAGTAAAAAAAGGCGAATCGGTGACGCGAAAACGATTGTTTTTGAGGCTTTTATAGGTAGGGAAATGTGTTTTCTTATTGAAAACAGCGAAAACTAAAATTGTGAAGTAGAAAACTGAAAAAAAAGTTGCTTTGAAGTTGGAAAAAAGTTATTTTTTACAGGGATTTTCAAAAAACTCACCGTATTCGTGTATTTAAAGAGACTTTGCGATAAATTTCATTCTGGTCAATTCTTTTAGTAGGCTTATATACCGTAAATACCCTAATAGTACCCCATCCCTCTAGTGCCCATTGGGTAGACTAGCTTATCGATTTTATCGATTTTAGGTCCTGTTTCAGCTGGCTTTCACTCTAACTGGCCATATGGGTCGTGTTTTGACGTCTCAAGTGAGCGATGATGGTAAATACATTGTCAGGTTAGTTAGTTAATAGGATCTAGCTAGTGCAATTGATAAGTGTTGTCAAAGAAGCTAACAATTTTCTAGGCAAAAATACTTGTGACAACAAAGTCTATTGCAATATTTAAGTGGCTCGTCTGAGCAAACCGTGCGCAGCGTCATGTTCTGCAGGGGCATACGGGTACTGTCACCTGCATGAGTCTACATGGCACAACGTGAGTAACCTAAATTTTGTGTTTTAGCTAAGATCATAATGTTTTAGTCTTGTTTCTGGATCGCGCGATCAAACGCTCCGAGTCTGGGACATTGTCGACGGGAAATGCCTTCACATTTTGGCTGACCACTTGAAGGGGGTGTGTATCAAAGTTATAGCCTAAGCAAAGTTAAATTTCAGGTGTTTTTTGTTTTGAAGTTCACTGACCAACGCCTTCGATCACCTACCCTAAATAGGGTTTGACGGATAACGAAAATTTTTTGACTCGGAAAAAAACAATGGCCTTAGGCCTACTATGTTCAAATGTGCCGTGTACTTTTCCACGTTCGCTGCTCACATGTTCCTAGTAACCAAATCCCGCTTACCATTTTGTTACAAGTTCACCGTTTCTTTTTATTTGTGAGCCAGTTTAAGCCATTTATCTTGTATGTGTAAATTGTGTAACGAAAGCGACCTACACAACTGAAAGCAATAGAAAAACCGGCTGTCGGCCTACTATGTTCAAACGTGCCATGTACTTTTCAACGTTCGATTGCTCACACGTTCCAAGTCACAAAACCCTGCTTGCCATTTTGTTACAAGTTTGTCTTTTTATTTGCGAGCCAGTTTAAGCCATTTATCTTGCATGTGTAACGAAAAGGAAAGCAACACAAAACAATCACACAAGGGAACTCTTGACAGAAAAAGGAAAAGATTGTTGTTAAGACGATAATTTTCAGCAAATAAAAGCAGGTAAATGGCAAAATAAAGGTAAACAAAATGTGAATTTTGGCATACAAGAAAGAAAAAAGTGGGAAATATTGGAAAGGAAAATGACAAATGTGAACCGAGAGCGGCATGAAAACTCATTGAAAGCCGAAAAAAATTCTTCAGAAAATCACAATAATGCAATAGACCAACAATCCGAATATAACTATGGATAAGTTGCGTCAAAATCGATCAAGAGGAACTTTGTCTTGTCCTCGTTTCTGTATTCCGATCTAATTGCACATAGGAGAAATGTTTCGGTCGCGAAGATATGCCGAGTCCTATTCCCTCCTTGAAGACGAACGAGGTCACGAACAAAGATACCTCAAAATCACAAAAATTCTCGTATAGTTGACAAAAACAACAATTAACGACCCTGAACATAGATTTAAACTTGAATAGTTAACGAGCCAAATCATGTAGTTATTAAATTCTACTTTAGAAGAAAACTTGAAGTCTGGACAAATTTGCTTATCTTATCGCCTACATTACTGGGTAATTTAGAACAACATACCTTTATCCACATCCCACAGCTTGACCGAGCCATCATACGAACTTGTTACCAAAAGTCCTGAATCGAGCAATTGGAATGAAGTGAT